GATAGCTTCACAGTGCTGCAACTTAACCCCTTGCGCCATCAGGGAGGCCCCCAAAATTGAATTAATTCAATAAAAAAAATTTAGGAAAACCTTAAAGCTCTACCCTTAATAGAAAACTTATATCAAGTAACTGCCAAAATAAATACAAGGAAACAAACACATGGTATTGCGTTCCTATGGCCATGGAACAAAGGTATCAGCTTAAATCAATACACACTTATTGCCTGATGGTTCCCACAAGTCAGGTGTCCAGGCAGGTGGGGCTGACACTGAGGTATCGGCAGAATTGACAACTCACTGGGGTGCCTCTTTTTCTCATGGATGGCTCTTTGCTGTCCCCGCAGACAGGTGGGGCCACCTCTTGATGTTCCACCAGCTCTCGAAGGTCCCTCTGACTGCTCACGCCCATCGGGATAAACTCCCTTGGATGAACTTGTCACAGTCACAGGGGACGGGATGACAAACGGGTAGCCCGGGACATGGCTCTGGGGCCACTGAGGAGGCTGCTGATGCCAAGAAGCTGCTGACACTGAGACTGTCCATGTGGGAGGTGTCAGAGGCCCCCAGCACCCAGGAGAGGCTTCCGTCCTGAGGGTTACCAAGAGCATGAGTGAGAACAGAAAAGGGCACCCCTTTCTCACTCTGTGAGTCATCACCTGATGGGCCACCTGAAATCACCCCGCGGACTGGGTAGCCCGTGGGCCTTCCTGCCAGTGTTCAGGGGCTCTCACGGTGAACCCAGCCTTTTCAGTCCGGTGCCCTCAGGCTGGGGATGGTGAGCCTAAGACTGGGAGGGGGCTCTGTGAACTGGGAAGAGGGGGCCACCAGGGAGGCCCCCCAAAATTAAATTTGCTGGAGGTGGGGCTGCCAGGGGGGTTTATTTGCCCCCCTGGGGGGCAAATGAGCCGTGCCTCCTGAGCTCATCCTAGCTGGGCTCCTGGGTCCCCTCTGGGCACCCACAGAGGCTGGGGAGGATGCAGCTTGGGTCCTCACTGACTCTCAGGAAGAGACATCGCTTTCAATCTGGAGTCAGGTGGCTCGGAAGAGTCAGGCCATGTCACGGCAGGGGCTGACAGGAGGTGCTCCCCAAGAACTGTGTTACAGAGGGTGCACCAATCAGCATTTGCCATTTTCATGGCGATTTAATGTATTTTAGGGGGGCAAAGTCTCTGAGTCAAACCTGCAGACCACAGATGAGATTTCTGAGGGTGAGGCTAAATTTATTTAAGCAAAAGGAATGGGTCCATTTTTAAAACCTATTCCAAGGAATATTACGCGCAATAGGAATCTCGAATCAGCTGTGACGTTGTGAACTTGTATGACTGAACTTTGGAGAAAGCATGTTTGTGGGGACAGAGCACCATAGAGTGGCCCAGCCGCCCAAGATGGCGGGATGTGGCTGTTTCCTATGGGTCCCTGCCACCACCCGCCCCCTCCCCCACCCCAGCTCCCCAGTCAAGTTCAAGGTGATGCCTGTTCTAACAATGGGCAGAGGCGAAGAAGCAGAAAGCATCTCTTTGTCGACCTAGTGGCCGGGCTGGACCTGGCGGCCAGTGACGCGCCTGTGTTCGGGAAGGATGACCAGTGTGTCATCTGTGGCTTCCAAACCCGGGCCAGAGGGCCTGGCCTGAGCCAGCTGCCCTGGGCTGCCAACCCCCACTGAGGAAGACCGGAGGGACCCTGGGGATGCTGAGTCTGCCTTCCAGTGGCCAGGGAGGGGGTGTGGGGGAACTTGTGGCTGGGGGGGGGAGTCCAGGGTGGGGCAGCTGGAAGATGCCACCCAGCACCAGGCAGGGGAAGCCCAAGCAGGAAACGTGTGTGGCCAGCCCCTTACTTCGGGGACAGAGAAACCAGCATGGGCAAGGGCAAATAACACCCCCTGGCAGCCCCACCCCAAACAGAGTGCCCGCCTTGTCCCCGGTGGGCATGGCGGGCAGTGGCCAAGCAGGGTGTGTGGGAGGGAACCGCAGGGGTGACTTGGGTGAAGCAGGGCAGATGCTATGCAGGTCCTGTCGTGGCCTCTTCAAGGTGCTGAGGACAAGTCCCAGCCCCTGTCCTGTTCCGGGGACCACGAGAGCTCAGAGCCAGGCACCTCTCTCTGCTGGCAGGGCCTGGGGTGACAAGCAGGTGGCGGGAGGAGAGACAGACAGAAGAGCAGGACAGCAGCTCCAGGGCCCTGGGAACTGTGGGCACCTACTGTGTGCAGGTCCTTTGCAGCACTGTTGGGTCAGGAGTCTCCCAACTCGACTCGGGGACAGCACTATTAGAACCCCTGGTTTACAGAGATGGAAACAGAGGCCCAGAGAAGTTAAAAAACTTGCCTGAGGTTACACAGCAGCGAAGTGGGCAGCATCTAGTTGCCACCTCTGCCCTCAAGAGCCTCAGTGCACTCTGATATCAGCAAACATGCCCCTCATACGCATGTAACTTACTGAATTGTGCCCACGTACCTGCTCGTCATCACTTTTTTCGCTTGGCATACTGTGAAGCTCTTGCCTTGCTAGTGACTTCAACCTCGACATTTCTCAAGGCTGCAAGGACCCAGGTCTGGATTGGGCTTCTGCTGTGTGCCTCTTCTTGCCTGTGCCAGGCAAGAGGGGGTGATGGGTAGAGAAGACAGTGTCTCCAGGACTTGCAGAGAGAGACGCTGGCGAAATGCATGCAGTGGACACTGGCTCCTATGGCCTCTGTTCCAGGCCCTGGGCTGGGCATTGGGGCACAGGCATCCACCTGGCAGGGCCCCTGCGCTTGGGAGCTCTCCGTCTGGTTGGGGCATGAGAGTCAGCGAAAAGCCCTGAACTACTTGGACAGAAGACAGACCCTCAGAGCACCTGACAGTTAAAAGCAATGCCGATGGCAGAGCTCTGCAGGGCAGGGCAGACGATGGGCTGGCAGGGAAGCCAAGGGAGAGGGCATATGGATGGACCGTCAGAGACAGTTGCCTGGAGGAGCTCGGTATGGGAGCCTTGGGAGGGTGGGCCAGGCGGAGAGGTGGGAAAGTGGGGTCCACCCGGGAGAAACCAGAGCAAGACCTGCAGGAGGAAGGAGGCTGGTAAGAACTTCCCCCCGCCGCCCCCCCCCCCCAGTGATACTGCTTGGGGCCTGGCACGTGTGAAGCCCTCATCTGACAGAATCTCATGTAAGTGTCATGACAGCGTGGGGTGAGGGTGGGGAGATGCTTTTGTGACCAGCCATCCTAGTGGCCCTGGATGTTAACACAGGAAATGTTAGCACAGGAAGTCCCAGGTCCCAGCACCTCTGTCCCTGGCAATGTGGGGACAGGGTCAGCACAGAACAGAGTTGCTCAGCAACAACCACAGACGTACGGGGCCAGGTCACTCCTGGCGGTAGAGTGTCCTGCGTATGTAGGCTGTGGAGCTGCATCCCTGACCTCTACCCACTAGGTGTTAGTTGTACCCCCAAGTTGTGACAAACAAAACTTTCTCCAGACATTTCCAAAAGTTTTCCTAGGGGGGATTATCACCCAGGGTTGAGAACCTTCTTCCCAGAGGAAAGAGATGCTGAGAGATTAAGCTACTTCCCCAGGCCACAGACAGCAAGCACGGCGCTGTGTGAATCGCCAACACACGGACTTTCCAGCGAGCCACCTGGTTGCCTGGAGGGAAGCAGGACCCCTGGGCTGAGCCGAGCCCTGCCTTCCAGGTGCTGGGTGTCCTGGGAAAGTCACTCCCCAATTCTGCGCCCTGATTTCCTCATTTCTGAAGTGTGGGTTTAAGTTTGACAACTTCTGAGGTCTCTTGGGTTTCGATGTTCTCCCTTCCCAAGGACCAGGGTGGGGTTCGCTGGGCTAGCATGGGGGGGAAGGTGGAGTGCCTCTGGAGCCGGAGGCGGGGGAGCTGGGGCAGGGGACTGGCCGCTGAGTGCCAGGCACTGCTGTCCAGGCTTGGCCGGCATCAAGCTCTATCCACAGGCACAGAAGATGCTGAGCTGCTCACAGTGGGTGCATTCAGAGGAGAACAGAGGGAGTGGGATGGGGGGCTGGAGGGAGGCAGGGCCCCAAGGCCCTCAGGAAGCTTGGGGACCTTCATCTTTGTGGCTGTCACCATCACTCACTCCTGCCTGGGACTCCTGTGTGCACGGTCTCTGCACTCAGTGAGAGCTCCAGAAATCGTTTTTTGAATGAATGAACTTTCAGCCCAGCTCTGACCACAGCTGTGCAGAAACCAGTCCCAGGGACCTCTGAGCTTCTCAGGCCTGTAGCTCAACCATGGCGCCCACCTCTGCCGCCACCTCGCTGGTCCTCTGTGGTCTCAGCCTCCCCTGCCAAACCCCACGCAAGGCTGTGGGAGCAGGGGGATGCTCCCCACGGTGGAGTCAATCTTTCTCTCTCTGCGAGAACACCTGGCATCTGAGCTGGGGGATGCCTGGCAAGGAGGGGCTCCGAGCCCCCATGCTCCCCACCTCTCCCGCCCCCCACATTGTGGTTTGCTCACAGAGGAAGCAGCAGCTGGGCCCGAACATGAGGCCTAGCGACGTGCTTGCTGGGGCCGTGTGGAAAGTTACAGCCGCCACCACTGAGGTCTTTGAAGACCAAACTGTTTGTGTTCCCCACAGCTATTTGTGGCCAAGCCCCCCACCCCCACACCCCCGCCCACCCGCCTTGGCTCAGAGCTGGCGACTGAGCAGAACTCAGAACACTGTGGCTACCCCTGCCGCCAACCCGGAACCCAGGCCAGACCAGGACAGCCTATAACCCGGCCCACCAAGCCAGCCTATCCCAAGCCAGCCAAACCAACCAACCACCCTACCTAGGCTAGCCAGCTCTAGAAACCCAAGTAACCCATCCTATCCCACTAGCGCTACTCAACTAACCCTACCCACGCCAACCCAAACCAGTCACCCAACCAACTTGCCCAACCCAAGTAATGAACAACCCGTCTAACCAAGCCTAACTCAGCCAACCAGACTAACTGAAGTAGCCCTTCCCCACCCCCTAATCTAGCTTACTCAGCGAGTCAGCCCAACTCAGTTGACCCAGTTCAAGTATACGGACTATATCTGTCCCCCCGGGTTTGTGCGCTGAAGCCTAAATCCCCAAAGTGGAGATATTTGATGCGGAGCCATTGGGAGACAATCAGGTCACGAGGCTGGAGTCGTCACGCTGGAATGAGCGCCCTTATGAGGGTGGTAGAGAGCAGAGCTCTCCGCCACGTAAGATCACACAAGAAGACAGCCATCTGTAAGCCAGGAAGAGCCTTCACCAAGAGCCTGACCACGCTGACACCCTGGTCTTAGACTTCCTACCTGCAGAAATGTGAGAAAGAAAAAACTTAAGTCACCCAGTCTGTGCTATAGCAGAACTAACCAACCTCGACTCAGCAGCTGCCCAACACAGCCAACCTAACTAAATCCAACTAATGAGTCAAATCCAGTTAAACCAGCCTAAACCAACCCAAGAGCTCAGCTCAACCAGTCCAAGCCAACTCAATTTCCTCCCTCAAGTCCACTCAGCTTTCCCAATCCAACTAACTCATCCCAATTCAACTAACCAAGGTATTTCGCCAACCAGTCCAGTCCAGCTCAGCCAACCCACCAAAATAACTAGTTCAATCCAATTAACTCAGTTTAACTAATCTTATTGAACCCAGATGACGATGCCCAACCCAGCCTGGGTGGCCAGCCCATCTAACTCAACTAAATCTGATTGATTTAAGGATAAATCCTCCCAATCCAGCTCGTTCCTGTTAGCCCAACCCAGCTCCCAATGCACTATGCCTCCCGCCCGATCATGTCCTTCCTATGGGTTACTAAACTGACTTTTTTTTCCGTGTCAAACAAGTCCCTGAAGAGAGTGATGAAGAAGACCTAGGCCCTGTCCTCAGGGACCTCACCATCCCCCCAAGTTAGGGAGGAGGCAACAGCCTCCATGCCAGGAAGAGCCCTCCCTGTGTGGGCCACAGCCCTGCAAGATGGGAGAGTCTGCAGGGGCTCCACCATGTTTGACACAACCTGTGTGCAGACCTGGAACACTGAGCAAGGTGTGCCCACAGGAGAAGGCAGGGAGGCATCATAGGCAGGTGCAGTGCAAGCAGGAAGGCCTAGAGGTGGGAGGCACAGCAATACTTGACCAGTGGGAAGCCTGGGGTGGTGGGGAGAGACAAGAATGGAAGGGCTGGCTGAGAGAGGAGCGATGAGGGCCCTGAAGGTGCCTGGAGGACTGGATTTCTGTGTCTGGCACGGGGAGCTGGGAAGGTTGCTGAGCAGGGCAGGGTCTGATCAGAAACATGCTTTAAAAACAGCACTGTTTACAATAGCTAAGCTTTGGAAACAACCCAAATGCCCCAAAATAGATGACTGGATCAAGAAGATGTGGTACATATACACCATGGAATATTACTCAGCCTTCAAAAAAGATAAACACATGCAATTTGCAGCAACATGGATGGCACTGGAAGGGATCATGCTCAGCGAAATAAGCCAGAAAGAAAAAGAAAAATACCGGATGGTCTCACTCATAGCAGGAATCTAGAAAACTTAAATAAGGGACCAGGAAAATGAATAACTATAAGAAAGTGAAAATCAAAATCAACAAAAACTATAAACCAGAGACATGCTATGGGGGGTGGGGGGCGGGGAGGGGAGGGATTGGGGTCAAAATAAGGGGGTTGCAATTGTATGGAGAATATAAAAATAAAATTTATTTAAAAAAAAAGATCTTTAAGGATCGAGTGGAACAGGGAAAAGCAGGCTAGCTTGGGTCAGAGGTCACAAGAGATAGAAGGCAGGAGAAGATGCGGGGGGTTGGGGGAAAGGGGGAGGGGTCGGGGTCAGCAGAAAGAAGGGAAAGGAGGCAAGAGGGAGGAGAGTCAAAATATGGGGAGAACAGGGCTAGAGAGCATGTATATCGCCCCTTCTGCAATTGGGGGACCAGAAATGAAGGCTTAGGACCCAGTCTGGTATACCTTGCCCAGCAAATACTGGTGCCAAGCTCCAGGGCCCATCATGGGGACACTCTCTGCAGGCCCCAGGTTCCCTCCCTGGGGGCTAGTCCCATCTCCATAGAGATAAGCAACGATCCAGGGCCCAGTCCCCTGCCCCCATGGGGAGCTGCAGCCTCCCTCAAGGGGCAGGTCCCGGGGATTGTTGGGGGTAGGTGGCAGGGTATCGTGAGATCTTTTTTTTTTTTTTTTAAGATTTATTTATTTATTTATACAAGCACTGGGTACAGTCAGAAGCGCGGGAGGGTGAGAGAATTCACCAGAGCCAGAGCGGGGAGCAGAGCAGGCAGAAGGACCGAAGTACACTGCTGAGGGGAGCAGCGGGCGGCAGGAGAGGTCTGCGCGCCAAGTGGGACCCTCCTCCGGTGGCCGGGGAGCAGCCGGGGATCGAACCGGTGCTGCAGAGGCTTTGGGCAGCTTCGCAACCCAGCGCTCAACCGCTGCGCCACCGGGGAGGCCCCGTGAGATCTTTTGACAGGGACTTGCAGGAAGGGCTGTGAGTGTGTGGGAAGGGGTCAGTACTGACGACAGGGAACAAAGTGTGAAGTGGCCAGTTATGCCCCTGTTAGGGCCATGCCACTCCCTAAACCCTCCTGGGAAGTGCAACATGCCCAGACAGCAAGGAATATTGAGGGCAGGGTTGAACTGTCCATACTGATCATTGGTTGGACCGCCTCCTCTTTTGGCTCCTGTGGAAACTGAAGCTCAGAGATGGACAGAGACTTGTGCAAGTCTACACGGAAGATCAGTGTCAGAACGGAGGCAGAAGCCAGACTGATGATGCCAGGCCAAGGGATCAAGCCTGCCCACCCAGGTCTGTGTTCAGAGTCCAGGGCTGGGGAAGACAGCAAGGAGCTGAAGCACAAAGTAGCCAGCGCATCTGGACTGGCCCTGAGCCTGGCAAGTACTCCCCACTGGCTGGAACTTCCCAGCATGCTTTGCAGCTCAGCCATGCCAGCTGACCCTCCAACCAAAGTGTTTCCGAAATGCAAGGAAAACTATTTCCTGGCTCCAAACTCTGCCCCCATCTGCTAGGTTGAGTCCCATCGATTTCAGATTTGAAGGAAAACAGCTGCTTTCCCCATGCTGACAGCACTGATCAATAGAAGCAGCCTGCCCTTGCCAGACCAGACAGGCTTGGGGGGCTGGTGGATCTATACCCACCCCAGGCCTTTGGATCCTGCCTGCCCTGGTTGTCTCTCTCCCCTCCATTAGAAGAGATGCAGCCCACCAGTTCTAGCTATCCCTCCAGAGGGAGGGCTTCCAGGAGGGGAGGGACAGACAGAATGGGGAAGGGAAGAGAGGTGGAGGGGGGCTAAGAGTCCAGCTATTCTCAGAAGGTGGAAAGAACTTGGAGCATCGTCTACGAAGACTCATTTCACTGATGCTGGAAAACAAGCTTAGGCAGGAGCCAAGACCTGCCAGGGTCACACCTGAGTGATGCAAGACCTGGGATTCCCACCCCACTCTGCCTTCTTAACACCAGAACCAAGCAAGAAACCAGAGAGAGGGGCCAAGGGCCACCACCCTTACCTGCCTTGCTTTGCGGGTAAAGGGGTGCAGCCCACCTTCAGTAGAGGGGTGTCGTTAGTAAGGAAGGGCCTGGATGATGGATCAGACAGCTGGTTCACTTTGTGGCTCTTCCACCTATCAGCTGTGTGCACTTTTTGTGCCTCGGGCTTCCTACCTGTGAAATGGGAATAACAGAGTAAAGAGTTGTGAGCCGCGCTGGGATGCAGTGAGGGCTCAGTAAATGTTATTGATTGTTATTATTCGCAGCACTTGGCTCTGAGTCTTCCGCTGAGCACATAAGAGAGCGGACTTCTCCAAGATCAGCGTGAGTCACTGCCAGAACCAGCACAGGAGTCAGGCTTTTTCACTCCTGTTTCCATCTGCAAAATGAGAACAGTGTGCAGAAGCGTCACTGAAATTTGCACAAATCTTGGCACAATGCGGAATGGGCTTCCTCCACCTGGACAGAGAGTCAGGCTCTCTTCGTTGGCCCAGCTGGAGTCACAAGTCCACTTGCAAACCAATTAGGGCAGCCCTGGGTGGCCGGGAGTCAGGCTGGAGGTGAGGGCGTGGCCAGGGTGGTCCGGCCCCGCGGGCTGGCCCATCCCGGAGGTGATGCCGGCAGGAAAGCAACGCCCTGTGTGCACAACACCCTGAACCACCAGGTAAAGGAAATAATCGCCACCACCATCGCGCTGCTCCAGGGATACTCCCACCCACCATATCAGGCGAGCACTGTTACTGCCCCAAGTGGCAGATGAGTGCTGCTGGGCTGCTAGGAGTTTAAGAACCCAGGGGTGATGGCTGCAGGGGAGATGTCTGGAGGGTGTCCCATCACAGGCCTCCTTAGATGGACCCGAGGAGCGAGGAGCAGCGCTGTTCTCCTGTTGCATGGCTGCAGGGAATAATAATAACAGTTGACATCCATTAAGTACTTGCATCCTATCCGACATGGCTCTAAGCACTTATCAGGCAATAATTCATTTAATCACACAATACCCCCATGTGGTGGGTTCTATCACAGATCCCATTTTATAGATTAGGGAACTGAGGTACAAATACGTAACTCGCCTAAGGCCCAGTAGCACATGATTGGAAATTTCAAGATGATTTCACTTAACCATGGTTTTGTAATTTAACAGGGCAGACTTGGGGAGCATTTATACGAAACACCTCCCTTCCGCTTCCTCCCTGCTGGACAGATAACTAATGTGACCTCAGCACCACCTACTTGCCAGGCTTTCTGCTGAGTCTACATTTAGTCTCATTGGCAAAACTCCAAACTTGGCCTCATCATCCCCATTGTACTGACGAGGAAACTGAGGCCTGGATAAGCAGTGTCTCATCCCAGGTCACACCCATAGCGGGAATAGATGTAGCGGGGCCGGACTGTTGGGAGCCCCCCACCCCACCTTGGCCTGTGGTGAGGGCCTGGATAAATGGGGCACAACTGCGGCGTGCGGTGGAATGTTCTGTGCTTGTCCCATCGCTCTCCCAGCACATGTACCCGGGGAGGGCAGGAGTGCCTGGGCAACCTGTGGGCTGGACTGTCTGAGGCCTGAGTCCAGGTGACCTTGGCATTGGCTCCTCCAGGACCACAGCCTGACCCTTGTTTTGCTCAGAAACCCCACACATACTTCACACAGGAAATTCAACCTGGCCCTCTCACGTCCTGTTCTCAAGAAGTGGGGAAAAAAACCTGTAAAGTCAGTCACTGTGTTGTTTTTTAAACAGACTTTGAAATATTTCCTGAGAGGGAGGGAGCATTCACGAAAAGGAGACTTACAGAAACCTGCAGATAGAAATAGGAGGGAAAACACGTCAGAGGAACAAAGAATCAGAAAAAAGAGAAAGTGAGCGGAGATGCTTCTGGGAGGAGGATCGGTGTGGAGAAGCAGCAGCTGCAATGGCAGCAGAGTGGACCATGGGGAGCCAGCAAGACAGAAAGGCTTGGGGAAAGTTTGAGGTTGGTGGGAGCCCCTATTCTTGCTCCAGGACCTCCCTCATCCCACCTAAATTCCGCCAGCCTGTCCTCCTGCCTCTACCTTGTCCAGGCAGTGGGAGGGGCCTCCTTGGGTGTGAGACAGACCCTGAGTGCTGTGCTGGGCCTGGACGGTGCTGGACCCAGCCTGTGTGGGCTGCTGCTAGCTTGCAACAGACAGTCATGGAACACGGGGGAATCTGCAGGTCCATTGTCAGCAGTCTGCAGTTGGCCTTGGTGGGAGTATTTACACCATAGAAATTGGCAAACACAACAAATCAGAGCTTTTATTTTCCTTTTTTTTTTTCCCCTGGGAGTCAGTTTATAACTATCTGGGGTCCATTTCCAAGCATGTCTCTCAACAACTGTGTGACCTTGGTCTTGTCACTCTACCTCTGATCCTCAGTATCTCTACCTACGCACTGAGAAGGCTAATACCCATCTCACAAGGCTGTTGGGGAGATAAATTCAGAGCGTACACGGAGAGCCTGCCTACAGCTGCACCCGACATATGCCATCTTCTCTTGGACTGAGAAAGCTGTCATCTTTTACTCTCTTCACTTCCTCTTTAGGTCAGAGGTTCTCTGGCTAGAGGAAAAAGGACTTACACCTTACACTCGTTCAGTAGAAAACGCTGACCTTCCTGGTGGGGGGGACACTGGTGCACTGATAAGGCCCTGCCCATTTTCATTCCGTAGTTATTAAGCCCTTTGTTAGCCCAATATTGCAAGGAGGGGATAGGGAGGGAGAGGACACAAGAGAAAATGATGGCGATGATTAAGACCTGGTGCCTAGACTTATAGGCAGGACAGATGAGGCAGCATATCCAGAAATGACTGGCACTAAGGAATAAATGGCATGTGGCATTGAAACATGGCAATGAGGGGAAGCTTCCAAGGGAGGACACGTGTGGATTAGGATGTTCTCCCTCCCTCCCTCCATTTCTCCCTTTCCCATTCAATTATAATGTGATCATTCATTATTCAGCCACTGTTTCCTGCCCACCTGCCCAGCCTGGGTGATGAGGACATAGAAAAGCAACAAGTTCCTCTTGCCCTGGAGGATCTTGCCGGCACCAGCAGCAGCCAGTTGCAATGCAGTGTGATCCCCTTTGCAGGATGTCAGGATTGTAATACATGGAGATGGTCAGGAGGCCATTCCAGGAAGAGCAAATAGCACAGGCAGAGGCCTGGGGGTGCAGGGTGGACTGGGCAGAGGATGTTCAGAAGCAGCGAGTGGCTGGAGGGGAGGGCAGGAAAGCAGGAAAGAGAAGACAGACCCTTCCTTGAATGCCTGAGACAGGACATCTTTGCATCACCCAGCAGAAGAGAGAGGAAGCGGGAAGAGGAGCGGCACTAAACAGCTGGCTCCCTCCTGGGAGCCCCTCTCTGCACACGCCAGCCCCCCTCTACAGAGCTGCCCCCTCCCCTGTGTAGAACACCATTGATCTGGGCACCCCTAGAGTCTCTCCCCGCTCCCTTTGAAAGCAATATCTGGATTTTTTGGGGCAATGCCACCCCCCCCCACGCCACCTTCATGCTCCCTCCATGTGGTTCCAGGGGGACTAGCCCTCTCCTGAGTTCCCCTCGGGGGATATGACCCAGGTTGATTCAGGGCTGTGTTCCTGGGACCATTGTTGCTGTGCTTTCAGCCAACAGATGTTCTCTTCCCACCAGGGTGGAAGCTGATAGGATGAAAACCAAACTGATGGACTTAGAGAAGCCCCCCTAAGAATGCAGCAAAGCAAAGGAGATCAGAATTGAGGGGGGCCAAAGGGGATTTGAGATGATGTCATTTGAGCCCCTGGATCCAGCTAGTCCTGAAGCTTCCATTCCTGGACTTTTTATTTTGTTTTGCTTAAGCCAGTTGAGAGTTGTTTTTTTTCTGTCACTTTTCACTAGTTCTGCTTAATATAACTGCTTGTTTCTTCCTTCCTGATGTCTCACATTTTTTTCAGACTCAGACCTGGGCTCACTGTGTGATAAGGCATTAATCTGAGACTGTTTTCTGATCTATAAGTGAGTGTGATCGTCCCTGCCAGCCTTACCATATTGTTGAGCAGTCAATGGACCGGGCCTCACCTTCACTGACTCACTCTTGTCACACTGTTCTCTTCACTGTTGCTGGAATGTGCCACACCTGCTTCTACCTCAGGGCCTTTGCACATGCTGCTCCTCTACCCGGAGTGCTTTTCCTTCAGATAATGGTACAGCTCACTCACTCACTCATTTCATTCAGGTGTCTACTCAGATATCCACCTCTTAATCAGAGAGGCCTTTCCTGATGCCTGTGGGACTTTTTCGGTCCTCTATCCCCCACACTGTTTCCTTTCTAATGCTCTTTGCCCCCGATATTTTCCATTTTATCAACATTTGTGCTTTGTGAATTGTCACCGCTGTCTCTTTGGCTCCCACTAGAGTGTCATTGGTGACAGCAGGGATCTTTGTCCACTCTGCTTAAAACGGTGTCTTCAGTGCCTATAACAGTGCCTGACAGTCACTAGGTCAGGGTCAGCTTGTGGAGCAGGAGGGAGCCTGCTGGGAGAGACAGCACTGTGTAGTGTGAAGGAGCTAGAATCAAACAATCCTGGATTTATATCCCAGCCCAGCTACTTACTGTCATGTTACCTTGGGCACGTCACTTAACTTCTTTGAGCCTCAATTTTCTCATCAGTCAAGTGGAATATAATGGCACAGAGTTCCTATAAAGACTAAATGAAGCGAGCTGATACATGTAAAACCTTTCGTATGACGCGTCACACATAATGCACGCTCACTATATGTTTGCATGATTGCGGCTGCCATTTGGGATGGGGCGCTAACCTTGTCCCTTTGTGTGGGTTCAAATATTAGCTCCACGTGTCCTGGCTGTGTGGCCTTGGGTAAGTTGCATCACCTCTCTGAGCCCCGGTCTTCCTCATCTGCCAAAGAAGAAGGTATCATGTCTGCCTCGTGGGACTCTTAAGGGGACAGAGGATGAAGTGAGATTGTTGGTGTGAAGATCCCATGTGTGCTTAGCACATGGTTGGTGCTAATATACAACTGTCACATGTGGCCCAACAGGAAGGGGTCAAACGTAGGCCTTATCAGGGGATGGCCTTATCAGGGGATGGCTAAGTGGCCTTATCAGGGGATGGCTGAGGTGGCTTTAGTGAGGCTCTTGTCTTCCCTGTGCAAAGCAGTAGGAGCCTGATCACCTTTGTGATCCCTGAAGTGGCCTTATTTGGGGATGGCTACGGTGTCTCAACTGATGGAGCTACAGCCTGTTTCACTCATTCATTCATTCAACAAATACTCATTAAGTGTAAGCACCAGATACTGTTCTAGGGGCTAGAAAAACCACAGAACAACACAGGCAAAGACCCCGGTCAGAGCTCACCAAAGAGTGTCATGAGTTGCCTTGAGAAGTACTGAACTCCCTGACCCTGGAGGTGCACAGCTACTTGGGAACACTATAGAAGGAGTTTGAGTATTGGGCAGAGGCAGGAGCTAAAGACTCCTGAGCTCCATGGTGGATGAGGAGGAGTTATGAGGCTATTCACAGGAGATTTCTGGTTCAGCTAAAGGGCTCCCCAAGGGATGTTTGAAACTTGGCCCTACCCGCAACCCTATTCAGATGACTCCCTGTTCTGGTGTGCTTTTCTTTAGATCTGCAATTCCCATTTCAGGATGCTTCTGTTCCCTGGGTCTGCCTCAAGGCAGGGAGCAAAATACATAAGAATCACTGTCAGACCATAGAAAGTAGAGTTAGTTGCCTGGCTCCCTAGCCAGTCGGTATCTCAGCAGCTGAGTCGGGAATAGCCACAAGGCCAGAGCTGGTCCAGTAAGCATCAACCCTAGCACTTTGGCTGGAATTATTAAAAAAGAAATCCTCCCTTTCTAAGGTTTGCTAAGCTTAGACAGTAAGTCAAAACTGCTGGCAGCCTTCTTTTCACCTCCTAAGATGAGAGAGAGCCTGCTCGTGAATGCAACCAACACAGACGAAGCAGAAGTGAAAGGAAAGAGAGATTTTAAGGAATTGGTTCACTTTATTGTGAACACTGGCCAAGTTCAAAATCTGCAGGGAAGGTCAGAAAGTCAGAGACCCAGGGAAGCACTGATGTTGTAGCTCAATGCCAAAGGTAATCCGTTGGCAGAAGTCAGTCTTTTTCCTCACGGTCTTCAACTGATTAGATGAGGCCCACCCATATGAGGTAGGGAAATCTGCTTTACATGAATGCTATGGATTTAAATGTTGAGCTTATTGAAAAACTACTTCCCTAGCACCATCTAGGCTAATTTGATCAAATCTGGGTACTATTGCCTAGCCAAATTGACACAAAATAAATCAACAGAGTTGGGTTTCTGTCACTTGTAATAACCAAAAGTGTCCTGACTAGAGGCAGGAGGATGGGCCAGGAGACCTTTTTGTCCTCCCTTGGCTCAGGGGCTTTACCTAGTTTAGAAGCAATAAAGTATCTTGGAAAGTGTACTGGGTTTAAGAGTCACAACTGAAGACAAACTTCTTTTTTTATAAGAAAAAAATATTAAGAAGAAAGAGTAGATTGAAATCAAAGTCAGTGTGAAGATAGCAGACACCTCTCTATTTCCTCTGTGGCCCCATTTGCTGGAAGAGCCTCAGGGTGTTTCAGCTGGAAGGAAAAAGCAGGGACTAGAACACTTGGTTCCTGAACTTGGGAAGACCTCAGAGTAATAGTGCCAACTGTAATACCAGTTGGCTGTGTGAGTGTGGGCTTAGCCTCTCTGAGGTCAGTTCCCTGACATGGAAAATAGATACAGTGGTACTAACATAACCACATCAATGTGCAAATTTAAGGACGCCAGGTATGTGAAATGTAAGGCCTGTGTGTAACTGGTGCTTTAATAGAAGTGAACTAAATCTGACTAGAAAATTCGATGACTGCATTTACTGATGCTCATGCCACCTACCACCCCATGCCAGGCACTAAGGAAGTCAAAGTCAACGTCTCTGTTACAAAGAGCACAGAGGACTAGAAGAATGAGGTTGGCAGCTGGGTATTTCCTGGAGGAGGCACACTGAAGACAGGTCATGAAGAATAAGCAGGATTTAGACAATGGCAGAAAAAAGGGGAGAATGTCTAGGGTGAGAAATATCTGTGAGCAATGATCTGGAAGTTGAAAGGTGCAGAGCCTATTTCATCCTGGCCAGTGCAAGATGTGTTATGAACACTGGCAAGGAGTTTACCTGGCAGAACTCAAGCTCCAGACTAAGGACTGTAGAGGTGATGTGGGTCCTAGGGAGCCATGAAAGACTGTACACCAGGAGAGGACCAGGCATTTTGCACCCTTTGGAGCTACAATGGGGCTGAGTCATTGAAGCCAACTTGAGCTCCATGAATGAGTAGCCTCTACCTACACCCTCCCCAGGTTTCCCAGAGGCCCAGATAAGTAGTGAGAACCACGGAGGGAAGCAGACAGCAGCCTGCCTGTCTGACACCTCTACCACATGCAAGAAAAGAGGCTTATCTGATGTGCCTTAATGTGCAGAGTTGACAGAGCAGGCAAGGGAAGTGTCTTGATTTCTCTCTTGCTTCTGGCTGCTCTGCCTTGGAAACACAATTGCAAGCTCAGCCAGGGCTGGGACAGTGGGTGCTGGACTGTCAGTATTTGGCCACCAGGAGTGGCAGGTTCCAGAATTACATTGGAGCCAGTCCCCTGAAGCCATCACAGCAGCTGACTCTATGTTGCTGGAAAGATCTTTCCCTCTCCTCTGTGCCCAATGACTGAAATCCCACCAATCTACCTCCCCCTTGGCCTGACGACTGCTTTGTGACACCTCACACAGCGAGGCCCATGCCAATAGACCCCTGGACAGAGCCTCAGCTGGCCAGTTTGGGATTCCAACCAGCAAGTGGGAGGTCTCAGCTGCATATTGGTTTTCTACCAAAACAACCACACATTGCATGACTGACAACAGAAATGTATTCTCTCAGCGTGCTGGAGACTTTGGAATCAGTGCTGACAGGGATGAACTCACTCTGCACACTATAGAGGAGAGTCCCTTCTTTGCCTCTTCCTGCTTCTGGCAGCTGCTGGCCTTCCCTGACTGGTGACTACCTCACTCTTTTCTGCTCCTCCTCTTTTCTGTTACCTCCTTTTGTTTCCTTCTTATTAAGACACATGTAAATAGCACTGAGGTACATCTGTTTCCTGTGGGATCCTGACCCTATATGAAGGCATCAGTTTCTGGATCCTTAATTCTGTTTCATTGTCTAACGGTGCAGCCTTGTGTCAGAACCTCTCTGATTTCATGACAACATAGCCAGCCCAGATCCTGGTATTTGGTGGAGGGACCCACCCCCTTCCTCTACTTTTACAGAATTGTCTTGGCTTTTCTTCACAATTTATTCTTTCACACGAGCTTTAGAAAAGGTTTGATTCAAATCGTTAATATAATGTATAAATTACTTTAGGGAGAATTTTAATTTTTAAAAATTGAGTCTTCTCAAACATACACAAGATGTACCTGGAGTCCTTGTTTCAACAAAATCTTCCCTTACAATCTAGAAATCAGCAGAGTAGATTGAAGGCATACGTTTACCTTGGCTTCCTATCTACGAGGTATTGTTGTGGGTTGGGTGGTGGTGTCATGTTTTTTTTGTTGTTGTTGTTTTTTTTCTTTTTTTTTTTTGGTTTGGGGACATACACCTATAAGGTCAAAGAGAACAGAAGAAAAGATAACAGCAACAGGTTGCAGGAAACTGAAAAGCATCTGTTTAAGATGACACCGACTTGGTCAACCAGAGAGGTCTGAGTCCCCATAGATCCAGCAGCAGGGAAAGCTGAGGAAGCAACTCAATTTCTTACACTGAGGGCAAAAACTCTTTGATCCAAGGACTGGCAGCACAAGAGATGTCAGGAGATGCGGGTTAAGAAGGAACTGAGGAGCAATATTTGGAAGTCGATAAAAAGTACTTAGGCCTCCAGATCCTCTCTACCAACCCAGTAGAATATTTGAGGTTCGATTTTGAAGAAAGAAACACACAGACTTTGGCCACCACACAATAGTGGCGGAGGACTTCAGCACCCCACTTACATCAACGGACAGATCAACCAGACAGAAAATCAACAAGGAAACAATAGCCTTAAGTGAGGATGGGCCTACTAGATATTTATAGGGCACTACAGTCCCCAAAAGCTAAGCACACATTCTTCTCAAGCACACATGAACAACCACATGTTGGGTCACAAAACAAGTGTCAATAAATTCATAAAGACTGAGTGATATCAAATAACTTCTCTGATCATAATGGTATCAAACTAGAAGTCAACCCCCAAAGAAGGCTGTAAAAACATCTAATATGCAGAGACTGAACAATACACTACTGAATGACTATTGGATTAATGAGGAAATCAAAGAAGAAATTAAAAAAATACCTAGGAACATACAAACATGAAGACACAATCTACCAGAACCTATGAATGCAGCAAAAGAAGGACTATGAGGGAAGTATATAACAATACAGGCCTACGTCAAGAAGCAAGAAATATCTCAAATAAATAATCTAACATGATACCTGAAGGAACTAGAAAAAGAACAATGAAGTCAAAATTCAGTAAAAAGAAGGAAATAATAAAAATTAGAGTAGAAATAAATGACATAGAAGTCAAAAAGACAGTTCAAAACATCAATGAAACTAAAAGTTGGTTGAAAAAATAAACAAAATAGGGCCTCTCCAGTGGCGCAGTGGTTGAGCACTGGGTTGCGAAGCTACCCGCAGCCTCTGCAGCACCGGTTTGAACCCTTGCCAGGGGTGAGGGTCCCACATGGCACGCAGACCCATTGTGAAGCTGCCCGCAGCCTCTGCAGCGCCGGTTCTGGCTCTGACTCTGGCTCTGGTGTATTCTCTCACCCTCCCGCGCTTCTGACTGTACCCAATGCTTGTATAAATAAATAAAT